ATTATCTTTTTTTTCGGGAAAATTTTCACCAAAATACTTTTGTACGCTTGTAAACCATATAATGAGCTGTCACTGGAAAAATTGTAACAGCTGTCGGACGAGTGGCTTAGAAATGACAGCAGTCTAAAGTTGGTTGTAGTTTTTTCATCTCACCCTGTATATGAAAAGTGGTTTAGTGTATCATAAAGTCGGCCCAGTCCGACTTTGGCCTTACTTTACTGGATTCGATTGTTAAAATGTCTCTATAAGTTCGCTTTATTTCCTTCACGATGTCCCCCTTATGATTTCGACCCAAAGCCTTAATTGACATTGTTAAATTTCAGGCTAGACTAGCCGATTTAACGTAGATGTAGATTCAGGAAAACAAAAATTCTTCTCAAATTACTCGGTTTATATTAGAGACAAATATCCCTCAATAAAATGTACCCATTACGAACATAATTGGAAAATATCACTAAGGCATTAAAATACCTAATGTTAGGATGTACCGTAGAAGTGGGATGGAATTTTTTCGGTGCCAAAAAAGAGATTCCCGGCTCTTTCTGTGCTTTAAGTTCCACTGGTATTCAATGTAAACCCAATGAATTAAATAATTCTCGAAAAAACATTTTTAATTATCTTTTATTTTATATCACTTTTTCAGATGCCGTGAAGAAACATATAATATGGACGAGATGCCAACGGCATCAGTAATAATAGTATTCCACAATGAAGCTTGGTCGGTGTTGCTGCGAACAATTACAAGTGTTATTAATCGTACACCGCGAAGAGTTCTGAAGGAAATTATTTTGGTTGATGATGCTAGCGACAGAAGTAAGTTTAGAAATTAAATATTTTTTTAATATCATTTTTTAATATCATCCCTAATTATCCCCGCTTTTCCAGGTTATTTGAAAAAGCAATTGGAAAGTTATGTTAAAGTATTGTCGGTACCGACACGCATTTATCGCATGGCCGAACGTGGTGGTCTTGTACCAGCCCGATTGATGGGTGCCAAACATGCTCGCGGCGATGTCCTCACCTTCCTCGATGCACACTGTGAATGTTCTAGAGGTTGGATAGAGCCGTTGTTGCATCGTATAAAAGAATCCCGAACCACCGTTATTTGTCCCGTTATCGACATTATATCCGATGACAATTTTAGTTATACCAAAACCTTTGAAAATCATTGGGGTGCATTCAATTGGCAGCTGAGTTTTCGTTGGTTTGCCACGGATCGTCCTTCACTGAGGAAACATCCCACCAAGCCCATAATGACACCTGGAATGGCGGGTGGCCTATTTGCCATAGATCGTAAATACTTTTACGAAGTTGGAGCCTACGATGAAGAAATGAAGGTTAGAATGGTTATGAATTGAAAAACTTGATTTTAAAATGGTTTTCTTTTTCAGATTTGGGGTGGTGAAAATGTGGAAATGTCCTTCCGCATATGGCAATGTGGTGGCAGCATTGAAATAAGTCCCTGTTCCCATGTGGGTCATGTATTCCGTAGCAGTACCCCATACACTTTCCCCGGTGGCATGAGCGAAGTTCTAGGACAAAACTTAGCCCGTGCTGCTATGGTCTGGATGGATGAATGGCAATATTTTACTCTGCTTTATACCGATGGTCTTTCCATGGCTACGCGCCAAAAAGTCGATGTCACCAAACGCTTGGCTTTAAGAGAAAAACTCCAGTGTAAACCATTTTCATGGTATTTAAATACCGTATGGCCAGATCATTTCTTCCCCGCTCCGGATCGATTCTTTGGCAAAATCATTTGGCTAGATGGCGAAACTGAATGTGCTCAGGCATTCTCGAAGTACATGAAAAATATCCCCGGTCGCCGGATTTCTCGTGAATGGCCACGGGTATTTGACGAGATTGAAAATAATGCCGAAGAATTTATGTCACTCATCGATTTGGATAGAGATAAGTGTTTGAGGCCGGCTAAAGAAGATGCTCCCCGCCAATCGGCACAGCCGGTAACAGTCGGTGACTGCAATGCACATTCGCAAACAATGGATATTTTTGTAATAACACCAACGGGCAAGATAATGACAAACAATAATGTTTGTTTGACATATAGCGAGCCGAAACAGAGCACAATAAAGATGTTGAAGAATCGTAATGCAACCACATCGAATGTCCAGTTGGCATTGTGTGCACATGATTCGCGTCAATTATGGGATTACGATATGGATGTAAGTATAACGGGCTTTATGGAGGAGGAATATGAGTCTGTTATTTTTATTTGGTTATGATGACAAGAATTGGTCTGTAGTTGTTTTGATGATTTGTATATTTACCATGGATATCTCCAAATGAGGTGTCGGAATTGCGAATCGAATCCATATTTAGAAAAGAATGGTTATTTCAATGTAATAATATTTTAAGTATTATTTGAACTACAAGTCTCCAAAGCATTCAAAGTAACATGTATTCGTCCTGGATAGTACATAACATAAACATTTTTGAGTTTAAATCCCAAGTGATAACGGTAACAAGTGTTGCAGTAACACCATAAATATTGCTATATATTTATATTCAAATTGGATGATGCATTGTCGAGATCATAAGTCGAATGTTCCCCCATAGCTCGTAGTCTTCCCCCTTGATAGAGCAGGATATTGGCATAAATGTGTTCGATCGTTTCACTCTCTTCTTCCTCCTCACACAGCCTGGAGTTATCCCATTTGGGCGTTCTTGATCGGATGATGCTGTGGCCTGTTACTATCCCCATCGTTATCCGTAACCTGGATTTATTCATGGTTCATTGTGTCAACATCTTTTGGCTTTCTCCATGAAGAGTAGTTATAATGCTCTGTTGAAATGACATAATGATAAAATATTATTCACCACGATAAGCCAAGGTAGCGGCGATAAAATGTCTCCTAGCGGTTTTCCTCTTGTTACCGCTTTCATAATGGATACCTCATCAATGGTGGAATTAATGATTCTGCTGCTAAGCATTGCATCAATCCAGCATATTAGTGGTTGTGTCCTTACTCAACTTCAGTTTTAGTATTTAATACATTTTTTTCGATTCCCGGTTTTCCGAATCTTCCAACATATTTAAAGTCCTACTACATGTTCTACTATCCCTTTCTTATTCACCATCTGGAGTGATATGACTAGTAATTACTCCAGGAATGTTAGGAACTATTAGCAATCGCAAGTTGCGTAAGGAGTCCTAGCAAAAACAGTTGTTTTACCAAAATTTCGATACTGAACTAGGCCAAGCAGGTTGAGATCATCGTAGGAGCAACTGTTAGAATGTATTTAAAAAGATTAGTTTAAAGCCAAACTCACAAACACTGTTACTGGATCCTAGAGGTTATTCATATAAACCGTTTTTAATTCTGTTATTAATAGTCATTATGTGACGCAATTGCACAGCATGGATTTTTTATTTATTATCGACAATTAAAAACCAGAACAAAAAATTCAACATAACTAATTTTTGCACATACATTTTAATATTGACAACTAGGCCAAACTAAAACATTGTCTTCAGTACTCTATTATAAACGATATATTATTACTTTTTGTGGAATTCAAAATAATTATTTCTAAACTGTGTTTGGCCGCATCCATGTGTTTTCTATTTTTTTTTTTTTTTTGATTGAATATTTTAAACTGTCTTTTACTTTTCGCGACTGATTTCTTTTCATAGGTCTTTGATATAATATTTATGTTCAGGAGCTTGGTTATAGTACAACAGAACAGCGATGAATATTTGTTTATATCAAAAAATTTGTTTTTAAAATTCAATAATTTTATATTGTTTTTTTTTTTTTTATTCCAGACTCAACATATCACTCACAGAGAAAACAAATTATGCCTAACACTGAAATCTGCTCAGTCAGCACGAACCCACAAATCCGAAAAGGTTGTATTGGCCATCGAATGTGATTTTAAGGACATAACCCAAAAATGGGGTCTTATACCACTGCCATGGAAAATGTAAGAACTTCAATGGGTGAAAACAGAAAATAGAAACTAAACCTTTGTAAATAAGTATAGATGCAAATGAACTTTAGAAACAAATGCAATTAATTATTGTGCAATTAGAGAATATATACTTTTTATATTTTTAAGTAATACCATTATCCCACAACACTTATTCAAATTTTGAAACACCGACGAATACTAAATGTGATATTTTTTAATTTGAATTTTTTACATAAATAGAATGTACTAAACAATGTGAATGATTGATCGAAAATTTAAATCATCTGTCAAAAAAGGCAATTTCATAAAATTAGTGAATAATTTCCACTGTCGTCGTACTTATGTGAATACGAAAAAGTAAAAAATTAAATAAACAAGTAGAAAAAAATAATCAATACAATAACTAATTTTAATAAAAATATCAAAAGTTTTTAACAAACAACATTTTCAATTATTTACAAAAAATATCCTTTTAACAACGATAAATAAATTATCACAATCAATCAATTCTAGTTCCTCTATAACAAACGTGAATCCATCTATTATTTATTGCAATCATTTAATTTTCAAATCTAACACGTGGGCTTAGAAATCTGGACGATTTATTTCCTTCCAGTTCATTTTCTCAGCTTATGTGTTCGGACTACATTCTTATTAGTTAATCAGGAACTTTTCATGAATGTTGTTCAGATTATAAATTTGAAGAAATCGCTTGAAATTGTCTTTTTCCTTAAAAAATGCCCATCTGAAAATTGCTTAGTTTTAATATTAATTCAAACTGTTTTTAGTAAATAGTTTTTTTTATACTATTCGAAACTATGTAATAAAAATTCCTTTTAAGTATAACATCCTAAACTTAAGTTGTATTTTATAATTTAATAAATAAAAAGTCTAATGAACTCAATAACGAATGGTGTGTATGCATTTTGGAATCGTGTTTATTTGCTCTGTAATCATCATAGAGGTCAAGACGTACTTTCTTCTTTCGTTCGTTATCACTTCTTTTACTTTTTGCACTGTTATCTCAAAATCCGCATTGTCACTGCTGCTATGATTGGCTAGTCTGTTCGGTAATTAAGAAAACATGTCGAAACGTTCCTACGGCTGTGGAACACAAGACTTTAGTTATTCTTGTGCCCCAGTCCAAGTATCCAGAGATTTTGAAAATGGGAGCATTTTTTAATACGGTTAAGGGATTTGTTTTTGTATTCAATATAATTTGTGTGGTGAGTTTGTAATATCGTACGAATTTCCAAGCACAAAATACGTCGGGTGCACAAGTATAAATTACATCTAACTTTTGAAACCGTTCACCAGGGCTGAGGAGTTGAGCTACTTTCAGCCGGACTTCAACGTCAGTGCTATATTGATGATTCTGAAACCGTAAACCTAATTTTTTATTCAGTGGACGATGGATTTTCTGGGAGTATTAAGATTTGAGCACACCTCAAGATACACTGGACACCCTACTTTGCTTAAGCCCACTAAACGTACTCGTAGAGAAACAGGCAATTAGGTGTGCACTTAGACTAAACCAATGGCGCAGTCAATTCTTTGGACATTTTGCGATCCTAAGGTGTGAAAGGAATGTGGGAGAGGAAGCCAACACTAGTGATTATATCTCACCACGGTTGTGCTTTGACCCACCTGACATTCACATTCCTGATAGGGACCTGCGGCATAGCTGTCTATACCGACGGTTCAAAGATGGAATGTGGAACGGACGCTGGTGTCTTCTGTGATATTCTTAATGTTCGTGAATCCTACAAGCTTAGAAACGACTGTAGTTTATTCCAGGCGGAAATTCTTGCGGTCAAAAAAGCCATAGACCTGTTGGTCACGAGGAACAACGAGGATAGCAGTCCGGTGACTATACAAGTCTAAGGTTGTTTTGGACTGCAGGAGATTTTTGGAAAATGTCGGATTGTCCATCTAGCTTTGCTGGGTTCCTGGTCATTATAATATTCCAGGCATCGAGACTGCAGACGAATTGGCTAGGCTCCGAATCCACTACTATTGAAGTTGAGAACTCGATCAAACCACCCCTACGCCACTTCCTACAGGTAATTAATAAACACTACTCGGAGATAATTTAACAAAAATGGCTGGACGACGGGATGCAACATCTCCACACTCCCGGAGGAGGGAACAAAGTCGTTGCTGTCATTGTCTAAACCAGACTTAAAACTTGTGGTGGGTATTATCACAGGTCACTGCAAGGAGAGGGTAATGACCTTGAAATGGGGCAGCGATGATATTGACTACTGTAGAAACAGTCAAGACGAAGAGGAAATTGAGAAGATCAAACACAGGTTGGTTGGACAAGTATCACATGATTTGATTCTACCAATTACCCCTTTGTTCTCTAACATTTACCCCTTTGTTCTCTAAACTTACCCATTCAGTTAGCCAGAAGATTTAAGTGGCTAAAGACGACACGGCAAGATCTCTAGCCGTGAATCATCTCATAACTATTTATTAGACCACTAACACCTTACTTTTTTCTACTATTCTTTCATTCTTCCAATTTATTATTAGGATGAACACAATGGGCCAGCAGGTCTCCGAGTGGAGCGGTTGCCAAAAATGCAACCGAGCGTCCCTTAAACTTAACCTAAGATTTGATACAGATTTTAACTGGCAACCGATGTGGTCAACTTGTGATTCAGAGGTTTAAAAAAACGAAGCTTCCACAAATTACTTTTTTCTTTTACATAAAAAGCCAGTTTAGGACTTATGACAGAAATCCTGTTTTGTTTTCGATTCGGGCGCCACGATTATGGTTTGTAAATCATCTGTCTTTCTCATCACCTCGAGGCCTGAATAAACTCTCGACTTAGCTGATCATACTGTGTAGCTGTAATACATACTCAGATATTGTCTATAAGAAGTTTTCTGAGAGGCTTTGATTCAAACTGTCTTAGAGATCTCGTTGGAATAACAGGCGTAAATTCTTTCTAATTTCCTAACGAACTAAGGTTTATTTTTATATTTATATTTATCCGTGAATGTGTAAATTCATGTCGTTATTTACGAATTTGATGATATAAAATCTGTAGTTTTTACGGATTATAACAAAAAGTGGACTTGCATTGAATACTGTTTGGGAGGAATAAAACTACACACTGGGAACCCGGTATAACAATTGGGACCAAACCCTGTGAAATACCGAAAATCAGGAATACAGGGATTTTACCTAAATGTGGACCGATATAACCCATTAAAAACAGCAAATGTCTAAGGAGTACATCAGTACAAATATCAAAAAATTTATTTAGTTGTCTTCAAAGTTGTTACCTCAATTTTGACTTTGACAGATAGACGGACAGAGGGGCGGATATCTGTAAATTGATTTATAAATATTTGCTAATCACGAATATTGGTTGTTTATGAGATCTCCGACGAATATTTTGTCGTGTTGCAGACTGAATGACAAAGTAAATGCCCCCTATTTAACTTTTGAAGGTATAAAAAATAAATCTCATAGAAAGCGAATCCTTCCCATTTTACTTGGTGCGTCCCCTGTCAATTTGTTATTAATAAGAGAAGATTTCTTTTAAAGTTCATAGATAGAGTGGAATAATGATACAGGGACGCCATAAGGAAGACCTAGAGGCTTATACAAAAAATCGTAGACTGGATGTATGTCACAGTTGTCTTACCTGTTCTGATATATGGGTGCCTTGTCTGGTGGCATACGATTTATTTCAGGATACTTATGTCCAAATTAACCACAGAGCAAAGAGCTGCGCTCTCAAGAGCATCCCTCAACCACACTAAATTAACTGCTAAATATAAATAAGTGAAGGTAATAGAGGTAGCGATTACATGTCCTGCGATAACCGAGACGCCTCGGCTGATACTAAACCTCCTCTGAGTGGTCTAGACATTTGCACAAACGGCCCCAATATGGATGAAGGGACCGGTGCTGGAGTAAATAGGGAGGAATCCCTAAGCCAATGATTAAACACTCAATGACAATTGCAGTGTTTTTCAGACAGAACAATCAGAACGCAGCTGAAATGGTAAGAGAAAATTACAATAGCATAACAGGACAAATGCCAATATATGTTGATAGGCTAGATCGAATCATTAAATCGAGAGCTTTGTTAGGTTCCAGGACATATCGACATAGTGGAGAATTAAGCGTCTGAGGTGGTTTCCAGTTGTTTTTGTTGTAGCAGTAGCACACGTGAGTGTTTGCATTCTGCTAATCTGGTTCAAGCTCCAGGTTAAAAAATTCGGCTACTTTAACGGGATGTAGCCAGAGATCTCTTGGCATGAGTTGGGTAGGTTTAGTTGAGCAATTAAAGAGGTGCAGCGTATTGTGCGGGCCTGTATCACACGCCGGGCAGACGTCACGCATATCTTCTTTAATTCGTGCCCAATACGAACGTGTCCATACTGAACGTAATTGCGCCAAAACTACACTGGTTTGTCTAGGCAGCTGGCGTTCTTCAGCTGCAATGGATGGGGGTTGGGCTCCGAGGACGGCATTCATCCTGTAACTGCTGATAGCATCTGCGACTGCATGGGCATGAACGTCACTCAGACCTGCCTGATAGGCTTCTTTATCTAGAGATTCTCTCGTATAGCGTTGGATCTCCTTCTCTAGATCGTGTATGTCTATCCTGTCCCGCCTGGTTGGGGGAGTTGTATCCACCATATGATGGTTGGGATGACTCTCACGGTAACACCCAAGCAAGTACTGCAACGAAAGCATATGATTATGCTGATGAAAGTGAAGGTGGTTTCCAGTAATTTGCTCTGCCGATTGATGAGACTGTTAAACGGCCAATTTTAATTTCGAGAGGAAAAACGAGTTTTCTTTTATCACTTAGTAGGTCTGATCTAAGAATCGTGGTAGGTACTGACTGACCACTACAGTTTTAGATATCTGATCTCGAATGAGACAACAGTGTTTCTGACTAGTGGAGACTATGTGAAGATGAAGATTAGTATGTAATCCAGCAAGAGACCTGGGTAATTTGGCAGGCGAGTGATAGACATAGATACCATCGTCAGTTACATGTTTGCCACGGGCATTACTTGGCCAGACAAACCACCCTGCTGACTGTACCTCTTTCTATAAATCCTTTCTTCACTTTTTCGCTTTTTTTATTCCCAAGAATTTGATTGTTCCTAAATATAATCATATTGAATAATCATACATTGCATCCAAAAAAAAAAAAATAAAAAGAAAATTGGATGTTAGGTGTCACAGTTGTCGGCCAAACCGATTGATACGTTTCAACTTGTTTTACTTATATGTGAGGGCTAAATCAAATAATAATTTTTTTTCAGATAATAGCCGTTGCTAATTTAGTAATCGATGGATTGGGTGTGAAATACTCTGCTCCTGGGAGTGATGGCCATGCTTTTTTCATTCTGGGAATTCTGTTATGTGGTTTGCTAATTATGACCACCGTCATCGGCTGTTACGGAGTGTGTAGTGAAATTTTGGGAGTAAATGTAATTGTATGTTTAAGAAAAGAAAATCATTCATTGCCAAATATCTTAAAATTAGAGTTTTTTGTAGTATTCCGTTTTTATGCTGTCCCTGCTTATTATAGAATATCTTGAGATTCGTTCTTTTCAACCGCACGGCATTTACTTTCATACCTTGCAAAGTTTGGAAACGGCATGGCGTGTTGTTGGAATAAATCCAGAGCCCATGGATGATATACAAAGACGGGTATGAAACAACAGATCATTCGCTTAATTGAATATAGGTACCACAATTTTTATATTTTCAGCTACATTGTTGTGGCCTGTTCAGTGGCCAAGATTACGCCTTTAAACATATGTCCATACCCGACAGTTGCCTAAGTGTTGAAGGCAGTTCCGTGACGACACATCAGATAGGCTGTTTGGATGCTCACTGGAAGTCCCACATTAATATGACGCGACGACAACAATGTTTCTATTGGGCTTTGTTGGCCGCAGAAGTAAACCCGTTAAACTTTACACAAGTTTCGAAATGTTTTATTATTATTTTGAACTACCACTCTCTTTCAGTCATTTACACTGCTGTATTCGATTGTTTTTTGTGTCCTTATACACCGGAGAAGACATCACCGATCCGCGAATAATCTCGACGATGTTCGCGAAGTTATCATTCAACAGAACAATATTGGTTCTCGACAACGTTTGCTGTGATCAAATGATTGTCGTTTGGATTCAATGGCATCATGACCGGTGTCATCATTGATTTAATCTTCTCTTCTAGATCCATTTTCCGCAAACGATGAATTAGTAGATATATGATACCGGCTATAACACCATGCAATATCTGATGGAGAAAAAATGTAAATTTTAGATAAATAAGTGGATACTACTCAATATATTTATGAAAAATATGTATATATAACAAGTTAACTTTTAATATCCTCCACCTTTCTTTTAAGGAACTTGAAAATTTTCCAAAAAATCCGTAGAAAAATACAGCTCAAAGAAAAATCTTTATATGGGGACTATACGATCCATTACGAATTTTAAACACGAAATTTGAAACAAAATTAGCCACACCTCCATGCTGAATTTCGTGAGGATCGGGCCATAGTTGCGACCTGTAGAGCGATTACAAATTAACATGGACAGACGGACATACATAACTAGATCGACTTAGCTCGACGAGATAGAAAGATTCTTCCCAATCAAACTTATAATACCCCATACCCAATAGTGTTGTAGAGTATAAGGAGTGAAGGAAAGGAATTTCAAATTTTCCAAAAAAATATCGACGAAAAATACTGATGAAATTACAAAAGAACGTAATATAGGGAGTTAACGTTATTTTGGAGCATATACGAAGACGTGCACCTGCACAGGGTGAGATAAAAAACTGCAAAAAAGTCAAACACTATAAGCAAAAAATGTCGGAAATAGCATCAAATTTTGGAATAAGTTTAGAGTTATGGCCTTCAAACGGCCAATGAAACGCTGAACGAATGTTGCTCTGCGGTATTTGCGTGCCTAAGGCTTTAATATCCCCTCCAGAATATTTTCGCCATAATATTCGGCATTTATTCTGATGCCACGGTCGATTAATACGAGCGGAGAGCGACCATCGGCTGTTATGGTGGCCCACACTGTCACCATGTCCGGCGCTTTAGTTCTAGTGGGCAACCGAAGGTGCACATGCTGGACAAAGAATTTTTTCTCATCGGAGAAAACCAAATCCGGCAGTTCACCACTTTCGGGCAAGCGAAGCAACTTTTTAGCTCTTTTGAGTCTATCTTCTTTCAGTTGCGGTATAAGTTTTTGAACTTTTTGGAATTTCAATGGTAAAGCTCATTTTTTAATATTTGCCGAATGGAATATTGCGATATGTCCAGCTCACGAACCATTTTTCGATCAAGTCGCTTTGTTACTTTTCGAACCATTTCTGTTTCGAGCCATTCTGCTGATGTACGCTACCAGTATCACGTGAACGAGCGATGTTACGGGACACAAAAGATTTATTCACATTTAAATGCTGGAGTGCTCTAACGATAGCCACTTGTGGTTTTCCAGCCAAATATAAAGTAATCACACTATCACGCTTGAATTCCACCACGAATAACTTTTTTTCTATATACAATATAATCAGCTGTCACTGGAATAATTTTAACAGCTGTCGGACGAGTGGCTTAGAAATGACAGCAGTCTGAAGTTGGTTGTAGTTTTTTTTATCTCACCCTGTATATCCAATAATTGTCATAGGACATTACGATATTCAAATACGAAACTTGAAATAATTTCCGTTGAGAAATGTGACACAAATCATCAAAATACCGAATGTCTGGAGGTACAGTTATATGGGACTATACCAAAATGTGGATCTATTTGGACAGTTCTATACAACGATGTCTCTTATATACTGGGAAATATGTAGCGGTAGCAAGATATAGTTCCACAGGCAGACAGGCGGGCATGGCAAAATCGACATAGAATTTCATCCTGATCAAGACTAATATATACTTTGGGGTGCCTAAAATGTATATTTTAAGGTGTTATAGGCGGGACAAGATATACCCTTCATACTGTGTATGGTGGAAGGCAAAAAAAAAAAGGAATAAAATCGGTAGGATTTTGCCGCTATCTTACACATTATTTTAGCAAGACGTAATGGCGTAAGATCTCTTCTTATTACTGCAAGTTATTCCCAATTTTAATACTTACCATCTGAATTAATGTGTAAACACAAAACACTTGGGTCGTGTAAATCCACAAAACTGTTAGCGTCATTATTTCGCAGAGGAATCCAGTGGCGATCTATAAATATAAATCAATTCTAAAATTTTTCCATTTTTAACCATTCAATCGTTTCCTTACTATTTCTAGTAGAATTGTACACTCAATAAATGCGGCAGCACAGCAAATGCCCGACATAGCCATACCGACTAAATTCATAGCCATACTTTCTACTTCTGGAGAATTTTTATAATTCAAAATCGTCACCACGATATGAATGATGGCACCCAACTTGAAAATTCACTTATTTCAGTTATTATTTTGAGTCGATGTTAATTGCTCTGTTCCAGAACCTGCAAGAAGCTACTGGCTTAAACATTTGTTTCGATAATATAAAGGAAAATTGGTTATCGTGTTTTATCATCCTTGCAGTTCTGGAACAAACCAAATGCATTTCTGGAACAAACCAAATGTCGAATACTCACTATATTAAAACAGTTGACAATAATTAAAACCCATTTGATGGTAGAATTTGAAAATATCATTTTGTTTTTGGGATTTGCTTATTTATCCGAAACGATTGCCGCCGCTAGAACTTCTCTTCAGGAATGAATAATTATTATGACTTATTTGAATTTAATATATTTTTATGGTGTTGATACGAATTGCGGTTTCACGTACAGTAGCGGATAAAATATACGTAATCGACATAAAAAATGTGGTTTAGAACGCAATGAAATACTGGGTAGCACTCCTCTAAATCTGAATGAAGTATAAATATTCTGAAGACTGTTTAAGTCTGGAGTATTCCCTCCATTGGCATATTACTCCGTATTATGCTTTTCTAAACCGAAACTGACAGCTTTGCAATATTTGCTGATTGCTAAAACTACCAAAACTTCATCCCGGCGAATTTAACTGTTCTTTATACTTTATTTCTAAATTGTGATTTCCAATGCCGATATAATTTAGGTAGTGAAAACGAAATGTGTTTCCAACAAATTGTGTTATTTTAAATTTTCCGGTATTACTTATTCAAAATGGCTTTATATGTGACAACTCTCAATATTTGAAAGTAGGAACCGCAAAAAGACACAAGCTTCATGTAAACTGGGATCTTTCAATTAAAACGTAGTATCTTTTATTACAAGATCCCGGTTTACATTACTCTTCGGAACAGTGGAGGATAGTGGAGAAAAAATCTTCACATATATGTTGAAGAATTTGTCTTAACGTTGAGGAAATTCTGTCAGCTAGGCTAAAATTGATCTTCAAGAATGGAAAGTTTCCGTGCTAAACCTATATCTGGAATTGATGTTAGAAAGAGACTTCAGCACAGAAGACTGTGGTAACACATTTAGCGAGGGAGCTTTATATCGGAGATCTTCAGACAGAAGGGGTGGGACATATCCCGTGGAGGACGAATCGGTGAATTGGCCGCCCGTGACGACGATGAAGAAAGGAATCAACTTTATACAGGAATCGTGTAATGCCTTAAATGAAGTAAGACTATGAAGGTTGCCTTGATATCACAGAAAAATGAAAAGGAAGATGCCCTCAAACTTATCATGGATGTGAAGGGGAAAGTCAAGAATGCTCTTTGGATAGCCGAGGAAAGTAAAGACAAATAACCAAGAGACAGAACGCAAGGGCAAGGCTTTGAACTTACTGATGAGTTGCCTTGTTTAAGAATTGCTCGACTTGCAGCTGAAATCGAACGAGACGGGTTGGCTGCAAATCTAGAAGCTGGAGAAGAAAAATATAGAAGGATCTCTTTGTTGGAGGCTGATGTATTGCAACTAAAAAAGATTTACTCACATCGCAGAAGACATCAAAAACATCCAAAATCGAGGCTGAGGAACAAAGATATGATGGTTGAAGAGGTTCTTATGGAAGACCCAATCGTCGAAAAAGAAGCAAGCTTTAAAAAAGTAAATGAAGAGGTCCCTAGAAAAGTGGAAACCGGGAGATTTGAAGAATCGAAGTGGAAAAGAAAAGAAGATGTTCTATTCATGTAAAAACGGAACACGACCTAAGTCAAACATGGACTGTTTGTCAGCGAGATGACGACTAAGAAGGATAGCAAACTGCGTCGCTGGAATAAAAAAATGATGCAGAAAGCTCAAGTTGTGATGAAGGTGCCAAGTCGAAGTGGTGGATCGAGTGAAATACAAGCCGGAGTGACAGGAAAATTTTGAATGCTGGAACGATAAATTGTTCAAGGTCTGTATGACGGCGCTGCCAGAGAACGATGACAACTTTGGCTACAGAAGGAAGACGACACATAAAAAGGAAATTGAAGCCGGCAGACAAAGGGGTGGGACGTTCAAGAGAAACCAGCTGGAAAGATGGAGAAGTTTTCTGGATCCTATAAATTAACTTATTTTCTCTTAAAATGTCAATTCTCTTAGATCTATTTAATTTTTTATATTTTTATTATATTTTATATGTATTTTTGCCCCTGCCAAGAATTGTTACGGATAAGTGAAGCGTGAACTACTATTGTAGTAAAAATAGTCAAACGGTGCGTATATTATTTCGCGGTGCGTATATTATTTCTTTGGAATTTGCATTTTCCATCACATTTGGAATACAGATATGGACCTGATGTTTATAAAGTTGTATCTTTGCTGAAAAATCATCTTGATTGATAAGGCTCGTTTTCGCCTCGTTGATATAGCAACAATCAAAATTATCACAGGTTTATGGTTCATCGGGGTCATTGGACCCAACTATTTCGAAAATGATGATCATCAGTTACGTAGATTTCATTTGATACATCGTAATGTTATTGTCAAACATAAATTTCGGAGATGGACAATATCGGCCCACTCCTTCCGGTATCTCTCCACAAAAGGTCTAAATTTTTACAGATAATAATTTACTACATAGAACAAGAAAGGATAATCAAATTAAGTGCAAACTTTGCAAATCCCAATATTTGTATAAGTGCTATATCAGATGTGTAAATGGATAATATCGGCATAATATCGGTACCTCCCCCACACCGGGTAAACATTTTGAATAATTAAAACTTTCATAAAATATAAGCATCTCCAATTCACACATCTCAATATTTTGTTAACACAAGATCTGGTGTAAAGATGGGTTATATCGGTCCACTTCTTGTGATATCTCCCACATAAAGGGGTAAACATTTTTAATAACCATGAAGCTCATAAAACGCGAAAACGAGCACACGATACTTTTCAAAATCGGCAGATTCCATTATTTTTATTAACACAAGATGTGATCAAAATTAGCCACCGAAATCTTGTGATTTAACATTTGCAGCTTCTTCCTTTGGGGCCATGCAAGAGAACAAGGGAACGCTTTAACAGCCCAGCGGCAATTAAGGCATCAACAATTATATTGCCCCCAGATATTGGTACGGCCAGATAATCGATATTTTGAAGATGAAGATCGAAGATCTGTCAGAGAAAGCTTTGGATAATTCTGGGGAAAATGTAGCCAAAATCAACAAATTAGCGAATATTAGGATGCATACGAAGACGTGGAATTATATCCACTGTACTCTCTGGCAGATAGTTGGCTACAGAGGTTATTTATACCTTACAGCACTATGTGTTGGGGCTATTACAAGTTTGATTTGGTCAAAATTATGTAATACCTCGAAATATTGGGCTAATACTAAGTAATATGTATATAGATCTTTCTATCTCGCCAAACTGAGTCGATCTAGCTAGGTATGTCCGTCTTTTTTGCGATCATCTTCAAAAACAATACGCCCCAATCTGACCCGAACTCGATCGGGTCATAATTGTGATCTGTAGAGTGATTACAAATGAACATGGACAGACGGACACACATAGTTAGATCGATAGCTCCTCCCAATATGAAGATCGACATCCCACATCGCGGAACAATACTTCAAGGTGTTCTAAACATTTGGCCCAATCGACTTATAATACCCGCCCCATATTGAGTAAAATTCCAGAAATGAAATTCTTCCAGATATTTTGATGAGGTACATTTTGACCGTAAGGCTTAATGTAGGATACATCCTCACAAAAATGCCAGGTTTCGTATCCAGTGATGAATTGTTAAGGCATATCACTCGAATTAATCCCAAAATTACAGGTATTTCAGCCAAAAAATGACTGTGTAATATTTCCCATGGTGAATTACTTATTTATTTTCGATTAAATTACTTGTAGTAAAGTTAAGATGATAGTCTGGGATTGGATATTTAAAGTCCAATTTAAAGCGGACTATTAAAGAATCCATCAAAAATGCAACATCATGTTTTCTTTTGAATAATAATTGCATTGTTTGGCACAAACACACATACATAAATATATTTCTAGTCTAACTAAATTTAAAAAGGATTAATTCTAAAATTTCTTTAATAAATTGGAAGATTTAATAATTGTAACGACGAGTATCAGCTGTCAAATTGAATATCAGAACTATGGCGAGAGTAATGCCAAAACCCTGAAAAGAACGATTAGAAACAAATTGAAATTTTCCAGATGATAAAAGTACTTCAACAATACCTACCTCAAATCCCATTAAGCCGACATGGGTCCATTTCTCTGTTCGATATATATTCATATACGCCTCCAACACCGCCGGCAAACAACCCTTGCCGTGGGGATAAAATTCCCTTTTGTTGTTGTGGAAAAAGTAACAACTGTCCGGAACTGTCATACTGTTGTGGTGGTAATCCAGATAGCCAGTTTTTCCGCAACACTCATACTGCAAATGAATGTAAGCAAGATTAATTCGTTTATGGCAACATACATTTTCATATGAGGAACCTACCGTTTCCTGCAAAATATCCATGTAACCCTGTTCGTGTGTCTCCGCTATCCAATAGTAATTGACCATGTTTGTCGTCGAAACACGAACCCGTTCTTCGTCGTAACGCCACAGACACCAGACGTGGGAAGCTATCAAAGCCAATAAAGTAACAATGAACTAGGTTGTCCACATTGGTTAATACGTCCTTATACTCGGCAAATACTTTGGATTTCATGGCGAATACTTACGCTCACCAACATCTTGACGGAACCATTGACGGCAGCACAACATCCAACGAAAGCCGATATCACCAATACGGCGCTAATGCCAATGTGTACAAGTTTCTCTGTGAAATCGGGAGTTCCAAAGGAATACTTTTGCAATTCAAAAACACTGGCGACCGCCGCCAATATACCAAGAACCTGAAAGAAGACAGAAATATTAGATGGAATGTTAATATTATATTAGATTTTTAATTCCGTTTGCAACACCTCGAAATATTGAATTATAAGTCGATTTAAAGATATTCTATCATGGTAGCTCTATGAGCCGAATAACCCATTCAAAGGTAATGTCAACAAACTACTTTCTGCATTATCAGTAGGATAAAAATAATAAGTTTTTCTTAAAAAATACGAAATAAGATAACATACGCTCTTCATTATCAAGTAATTAGCAATAATTCCTAAGGTTGTGCACTGCCTGGCAAAATGAACGCTAAAAATAATTTTTTCCATTCATTTTTCTATTTTATTTCGGGTTCTTTTAAAATTAATGGATTAGTAAATTGATTATAGTTACAGCTGCCAAACACGAGTAAGGCAATTCATTATTTTATCCTAACTCATTATTTTTGATAAGAAATTGTTGATGGGAAGCAGGGCTTTTAAATTGGCATCATGTCTAGGCTAATTGGTGGACTATGTTGGGACTTCAAATATTGAATATTCGGAATATTTTCACGACAAATCTTCAATATTCATCACTTATGTCGAATAGCCCCATATATTGGTATCTTCGGGATAGAATTATTTTCAATGATTAAAACAATTTACGATTGAAGTCCTAGAAGTCACATATATTATTCAATTCAATTTAGACTTAGGTTTTGCCATGGCCCCAATGAAATGGGACTAAAATACCACAAAAATATTTCGTATTTTCATAATTGGAATGTCCGTCTTGTAAATCTATGCCCAATTTTAAGGATATTAAGGACGATCGACCTGGCCATAATTGCAGTTTACACATGGTATTGCAATGGTTCTGAGAGAATTTTTCTCGTTCTCTATCTCGAATAAGTATTGCAAAAATATATTCAGCAAATATTAGTAAAATTCAGTAAGAAAACTGCTGATGAAATCGAATCGAAATTGCAAATTTTGTAGCTAAAATTTAGTTATTCTATAACATCGGACTCAGTTTTTATACACACACCACATTGTGGTAAGGGTATTACGTCTTTGTGCATTTCTTTGTAACATGGAGAAGGAAGCGAGATAGACCCATAGTTACTCTTGAGGATCTTCATTGAATCACTTTCTGAGTCGATTTATAAATGTCAGTCCGTATTTTTGTGAACAAAATGAAGGTAGCATTTATTATCCGAATGAGATGAGATTTCCCAAATAATAAGGGCGAGATAAAAAACTGCAACAAAGTCAAACGCCATCATTTTCAATTTTTTTTAAATTTTATTGAATGAAAGCAAACAATGTCGGAAATAGCATCCAATTTTAGAATAAGTTTAGATTTGTTCGAATTGGCCACCTTTGATTGACACTTTGGTATTTTTTATTGCCAAACTTGCTTTCCAAAATATTCCAGATACAATAGTCCAACGGATTGGTATCCAGAGATTTTGGTGGTCATTGTGCGCTGGAAATGAAGCGTTGTAACAATTCTTGGGTGGCGCGTGCTGATTCTTGTTGGAATGTCCACGGTCTGCGGCCAAAATGTTTGCGTGTCCAAGGTTTTAATACACCCTCCAGAATGTTTTCGCGATACTATTCTGCATTTATTCTGATGATGCCATGTCGATTAATACAAGCGGTGAGCGACCATTGGCTGTTATGGCGGCCCACACCATCACCATGGCCGGCGCTTGAGTTCTGGTGGCCAACCGAAGGTGCACATTTTCAGATGACCTCTTTGGCAAGTAAACACGATCATTTTGTTTGTTTACAAACTGCTGGACAACAAATGTTTTCTCATCGGAAAAAACCAAATTCGGCAGTTCATCACTTTCGGCCAAGCGATGCAACTCTTTAGCTCTTTTGAGTTTATTTTCTTTCTGTTGCACTTTTTGAATTTCAGTGGCTTTACCCCGAGCTCATTTTGCAATATTTGCCGAATGGAATATTGCGATATGTTCAGCCCACAAGCCAATTTTCGACCACTGCGACGAGGGTTTCGATCAAGTCGCTTCTTTACTTTTTGAACCATTTCTGTTGATGTTGCTGTTTTTTTCGTCCATTTCTTTGTCGTCGGGCTACGCTACCAGTATCACGATAACGAGCGATGGTGCGAGACACAAAAGTTACATTTAAATGCAGGAGTGCTCTAACGATAGCCACTTGTGGTTTTCCAGCCAAATATAAAGAAATCACAGCATCACGCTTGAGTTCCATCACGTATAACTTTTTTCTGGAAAATTCTCACCAAAATGCTTTTGTACGCTTGTAAACAATATAATGAGCTGTCATTGGAATAATTTTAACAGCTGCGGACGAGTGGCTTGGAAATGACAGCATTCTGAAGTTGTTTGCAGTTTTTTCATCTCACTCTGTATATATGTTTCATTTGTGTTTAAGTCCCTCACCAAAACAGCGCCACCTATCAGATACAGCAAATAAATACATATGCAAAATTTTACAGAGAGCGGTTCAGATTTGGATATAGCTCCCATATATACCTACATCCGATTACACGTTTATTGTGCCTAAAAAGTGTAATATCAGTTTAAATAGGATAGATTTTGATTAATATTGTTTCAGATACAAATGCCTTCGTCAAATTTGATAGAATATGATAGAAGTCTGTCAGATATTAGTTTTATTTCCACTTTACATTATAATTGCTTTAACGATTATAGTTGCTATGATTAAACTCTCATAAATTTCCCATAAAAAAGTTTATTTGTTATATGTAGCTCTACTCTATATGGGAAGTTGTGTAAGGTATCATAAAGTCACCCAGGCTTTGGTCTTTCTTTACTGGTTTCAATATAGTTCTTATCAAAGTCATATCATGCACTATACAGCAATGTTATTTATACTAGAGGTGTAAAAGCCTTTATCTATTGTCTATTTTATTGAAAATCGATTCAGAGTTGGATATAGTATCCAAATTGTGACTACTCCAAAGCCATGATACGCATTCAAACAAGATTCGTGGTTGGCATGATCTACTTAACATAAATTCCCAATATAAACTATTTTGTTACGTGAGCTCTACTAAATACGCAAAGTGGAGTATATAGTCGGTCCCGCCCGACTTTTGACCTTTCCTTGCTGGTTAATGTTTATTACACTTAGCAATCCATTTTTTCTAAATTACAAGAAAAACTCAGTAGAGTATTAAAAAAGAGAAAAAACGAAAAGTCACTTGTGTCAGTGTTCTTATATATTAAATACGAAAATACACGTGTGCATATTCGTCACAGAATTAACATTTAACATATTTTAATGCCAACGTATTTCTCCCAGGACGAAAATGAAGAAAAAACCAACTGTTCTTTTGGCTAATTAATTTCCGTATTAAGTTTCTCTACGAAGTAACATAGAATTAACAATTGCTGCATATTGGGGATTGGGAATACACACATAGCCTTTTTAGCTAATTAAATACATACACACTTATGTCTGAATATGAGGGAAGAAATAACAAAAATGTTATTGGAAAAACTTCATTCGTCAAGAGGTGGGTCTAGGCTGACTAATGCATGAGTTTGTAGCGCTTGCCAAAAGATGTTTGAAATTGAGTTATGTGCATATGACAAGGGAAGTAGTGAGGTGTTAATTAACCTCATTTCAAAATCTAAGCATTCAGACCTAAGGATGGAAATTAGGTACTGAAAGCCAATAAATTAATTAAAGAGTTACTAATGAAAAGACCAAATCAAACTCTACAAAAATGGGCCCTATGGCAAAATCAATACAACAACCATATGTGTTTGGATAACAATTGCTTTAGAACGTTTATAGCTGATTAAACGATATACATTAGTCTTATAAATGATAAACACAACAACTCTCATTGGGAAGTCATTCAAAGCGTTGATAATGTTACCGGAGGCGCCTCACAAAAGTCATTAGCCGTTCGCCACTTATGTCTTTCCTGAAGCCTGGGTAATGAATCGGATTCCCAATCTACTAAAGCAAAAGCGACTCGTACAGACCTATTTTGCTTTTGGATAATAAACATGGTTCCAATTATAACCATAGGCTCTGTTCAAGTACCTGCCAGAATCTTCTAGTTTTGCAATAATTTTGATATCATAAAGGAAAAATCGGTTATTGTAGTAAAAACATCTACATTCTTGCAGTTCTGGAGCAACCCAATACCCTTAGCGAGGACTCAGGCGGGACAGGCTGTGCAATAGAATGCTAATACAACTAGAATGATAATGTTTAAAGGACAGGCCAAGTTTTGTTTAGTATGAGAGTCCGGTCCCGGGTGTCTCCTGTTTGAGTGAAAATCGAATTTCTCGAAATAGACTAAGAGTTTGCTCAAAGTGCGAAATCGGGTGGAAACAAGTAAAACAGCAGTTAAGTTCGGCCGGGTCGAACTTTTGATATCCTCTACCAATTGGAAGGAACATGCAAAATGTTAAGAAAATGTCGTCAAAAACTCCGTTTATATGAAAACCGTTGTATGGGGGCTATACATTCCCTGCCCGAATGTTGCTCTGCGGTATTTTGGCCAGTTCCCGGCGAAGCGCTTGCTTGAGGTGATCGAAACTTTGGTATTTTTTTAGTGCTAACCTTGCTGTGACGGTTCCATTGGCCGTTTGAAGGCCATAATTCGGGCCAAAGGTGACCAATTCGAGCAAATCCAAACTTATTCTAAAATTTGATGCTATTTCCGACATTTTTTGCTTTCATTTAATGAAACTAAAAAAAAAATTAAAAACTATGGCGTTTGACTTTGTTGTTGTTATTTTATCTTATCCTGTATATAGGAGCAATGCTCGAATCTGAATCGATAACCACTTACTTCAATAGGGCTCGCCTAGGGCCAAAAATTCAATGGAGATCACCAAAAGGACTAAACGAAAATATTGGTCCATGGGCGTGAGTACACACAAAGACAGACGGGCACCGCTAAACCGACTAAGAATTTTACGCTGATTAAGAATATATATACTTTGTTGGGTCTGACATCAGTATTTCAAGGAGTTACAAACGTAATGGCAAAGTTAATATACCCTCCATAGTATGGTGGAGAATATATGAACTTTGACATTCCGAGAGTCAAAAGTAAATGCTATCTTTCAGCAGATTCGGTTCGAATATGTGCGAAAAACTCGTACATTAACATAAATTAGGAGGTACCTTAAATAGGATTTTAGAGATATTGCTTGGTAACAACTCTAAGAAAATGAAATTTAATTCAAATATGGAATGTTCGCTAACATAAAGGGACATATTTCTTTAAAAAGTTTCGATTCCTTTCGGGTTATGAGACTTGGTAGAACTTTTCACTTTCTTAATTGGCTTTTAATAATTTTATGATATCTTGTTATTTCTAGGTCTGCATTCCACTAGTTTATTTCTTTAATTTACATTTATTGGTATTGATTCATGCCTTTATTTGAAATACTTTTCTTTTGTTCAATTGCAAAAATTTGTTTACCCATCAAATATTTTGTTTATATATGAATATCATTAGTTTTTGCGAAATATATACCAATTATTAGTTTGAAATAAAGAGCTCCAATGACTGTGGGAAAATCGAAAACACATGGCTTTCCCAATTATTATCAGACGTATGCACTAAGATATTTCAAGGTATTTATTATTTTTCAAAATTTACCACGTGTCAAAAGTTTGCGCGTCGAACCAAAATCACTTCTCTCTCGCACCATGAATTTTCAAAATTTCCATCAATTAGCAATGAAAACGAAATTTGTTTTTGATGAAAAAGTAGCTGTTTGGAAAAAATAATATTCGAAATGAGGCAATAAACAAAATGCGATTTGTTTATGTTTTTCATTCTCCCATTTTCGTATTTTTTCACCCATACACGGGGCCGTGAAAATGTTTTTTTTTTTTCAGAAGTATGGCATAATCATCTTTACATACGTACTTTCGTATGTACGTATGTCTGTGCGAATATGATTTTAATACGATTGTGACATAAATTTTAATTTATATTTTCTCTAAAATTAGACAATAGTTTTCCACACACTCGCACGCACACACATCCATTGCATTCTAATTTCCCAAAATTTCTCATCAATTTATTGTTCATTATTCGAATGCCGTTATCAGTTTTGGTTCACTTGATTTGCAGTATCATTGATTCATTGGTTTGGGAGGGGAGATGAGGAACACTTACAACACTCATTGTATTGAAGACGATGACCGTCCACTGCAGACAGGTGCGACTCAAATGCATTTTGATCAATTAATCGGCAATACGATCGGATCGCGGGCGGAAGGGAACAACTGCGAAGATGCTTTTCAATGAATTGTGGTTAATTTGTTTCGCGAAATTCTTTGGTTATATATGTACGTATGTTTGTTCGAAACGGACGAATGTTGTACGCGCCGGCCAACGTACGTCTTGACGGCAAACGAGCGAATATTTAAATGAATCAACTCAGGCGGAGAAAATGCGAAAACACCAAAATGTGAATTGGCGTTTTCCTTTTGATTTTGCTGTGGTCATCCACTGCTCTCTGCGGCGTGTGTGTGTCCGCGGCTTTTCTGAAATATGCCAAGATTTTCCAAAAATACCACACTCACAGTAACCATAATTAACCACACTCACAGCCATTACATTTGTGTTGGTTTCAATTTGTATTCTGTATTCTTACATTAGAACCAATCGTGTGACTGGCTGACCAAGTGGATAATGAGTGACGACACCGGCTGACGCGTCGGGCGAATGAACCAACTGTCGGTTGTAGTATTTTCCTTTAGATATCCACATGAATGATTCGCACACTTCTTGCCTTTGTACATGTACTAGAGAATGGTTCATATAAACAGAGAGGGAGAGAGAGAGATAATAGCATTGGGACATAGGAAATTTGTTGCCTAATGTGGTGAATACGAATTTGTTTCATTGCACAGTGACAAGGGTTATGGGATTTGTAAGTTTTTGGGGAAGTCGGAAGTATCATAATTAACGAGGTTAAAAAATGGAGGATTCATCGGAGTCAAAAAGGTAATATTTTAGATCTTAACGGTGGGAAGTTAAGGAACTTAAGTTAATGACAGTTGACCTAACAATTACATAATGCAAAATTTTATCCCATTCAATTGAAACGAGTAAAAAAACAGTAAGCTCGGCCGGGCCGAACTTTGAATACCCTGCACTATTTGGGATGAATTACGAAATTAAAGAAAAAAATAAATAAATAAATAAAATCCATTAAAAATTTTGTTAAAATCTTAAAAATACCGAATATCGGAAGGTGCCGATATATTGGGGATATACGATATTGTGGACCTATATAGACAATTCTATTTCAGGGGATAAAGTACTCAGACGGAACTCCTTGTGTGCAATTTCAGAAAATTCCATTGAAAAATGTGGCTAAAATCATCATTCGAACTTGACCTGCTGCAGAAAAAAGACAGATCTGTTCAAAATTTTAGCTTCCTATCTTAATTCGTTTTGACAGTAGCGTGATTACAGCAGATTTTTACGCTGATCAAGAATATATATACTTTGTTGGATCTAAAATTATTATTTCGGAAACGGAATGACGTACTTAATATACCCTGCATACTATGTATGGTGGAGGGTATAACGAGATAACTAAGGCGTTTGAAATGATTACAGCCATCATTAGTTGGCAGATACCGTTGTATAAGACTTATATCGGAACATCATTTGATATTTACTTTTTTCATCCAACAAGAATATAATATGTAAGTTTACAATCCTCCCACCCTTATAACTCTCAGAATATGTTGTTTTACAATGGTGCTGATTGTGTGTGTGGAGCAGGGATGGAAAATCCAGTATAATGGTACTTTGTACATCCTCAGCCATATGGGTATATATCATTTAGGCCAAAACGTGCCTCATCAAAATAACAGCTTTAGACCCTAGGACTAAACGCGTTTCAGGACATTTGTAGGCTATCTAGGGATGTCCGTCCGTCTGTCTGTCTGTTTGGCTGGTGGGCACGATAACTCTGGAAGGGAGTATCCGATTTGGTCCCAACTTGGTACTTCGTAGTATTATTGTCAAACTTACATCGGTTTGGATATAGGCAACATCGATCCACTCCTTCTAGTACCTCACTCACAAGAGATCAAAATTTTTAAAAGAAAATAATTTACCTCACAGAGCAAGAAATGATCATCCAGTTTTGTTCAAACTTTGAAAATCCTAATATTCGTATCTGTGCTAGGTGAGGTGTGAAAATGGGCAATATAGACTGACTCTTTCTAGTACCTCCCTCACAAAGGGTCAACATTTTGAGTAATCTCAACACTTATAAAATGTGAAATTAGAGTCCAATTGTATTAATTGCATATTCCAATATTTCTAAATATTCTAATACCTTCCTTCTAATACCTCCCCCCAACGGGTAAATTTCTTATGAAACACAAAATAAACATCCAATTCTCCTTAAATTTCACAAATCTGAATATTTTTTCTAACGCAAGGTCTGATGTCAAGTTGCGATGTATCGGCTCACTCCTTCTTCTCCCCCACAAAGGGTAAACATTTGGAACAATTATAACTGTTATGAAATGTGAAATATAAATCGGATTGTCATAAAATTTCACATATCTTAATATTTCCAACAACACAATATCTGGTGTAAAGAACTGATCGAGAAGACTCCATGAAAGTACGGCTCCTATGCGCAATGGAGGTTTTTTCCACGATTCTAGGGTTTATTGAACTATTCACCATCACCTAAACATACACCAAGGCCAATATGTTTAATTAATGTAAACACAATTATTTAGTTTTATATTATTTTCATTAATATATTTTCTTATATAAAATAAGTCTGTGATATATATTTTGTTTTATTTTTTTTTGTTCATACCGTCATATGTATATAGAGTTGTGAATCAAATAACAAATATTCACTTATATACTTCGTATATGTAAATAACATGTTGTACATAATATGATTTGAATGTTTGCATGTATGTTTGTAGGTTTATAACATTTATATGGCAATATATAAAATCATAAAAATACAATTCACGCTTCATAAATAAATAAATAAATATTTATGTATATCTTTGGTTGTTGTTTTTTTATTATTTGTAGGTACTTTTTAGTGACCTGTCATCCCTTTTTACGTGTGTGTGTTTCTATTTTTTTTATAAATATATCAATAATTTACGATTCCGTTTTGCATTCGATACAATTAAAATATATTTTAACAAAAATAAAGAGTCAAAAATATAAATACGTTTTATTTGTTTGTATATTCCTCATTAGATTCGACAAAGTCAGTATTTGACTAATTTTCGAATTGTTTCCTTCGGCGTTTGTTACGCAAGTTTATTCCCAGCAAGGATGCTAATCCTAAGGCACATAACTAAAAAGAGACAAAGAGTTTAAGTTAAATATTTAATTATATTAGATATATATATTATATAACATTATTATCATATATATTTCACATATAGTAAAGTGCCGAAGGTAGGACACTTGGCTATGAATTAAAACTCAAATAATTATTAACCAAGCATTGTTTGCTTTCGATTTTGTGAACTTCCCTAGAAATTTTCTTCTTTGATAAAGTTTTTTTTTCAGTTCTCATATTAAAAGTGAGATTATGAGATTCAATTGCTCACATCTATATATATATATATATATATATATATATATATATATATATATATATATATATATATATATATATATATATATATATATATACAGGGTGAGATAAAAAAGGTAAACAAGTCAAATGCCATTTTTTTAAATTTTATTGAATGAATTCCCGGCGAAGTGCTTGCTTGAGGTGATCGACAATTTGGTATTTTTTAGTGCCAACCTTGCTTTCCAAAATACTCCAGACACAATAATTCAACGGATTGGTATCCAGACATTTTGGTGGCCATTGTGCGCTGGAAATGATACGAGGAACCTGATTTTGTAACCATTCTTGGTCTGCAAGGTCTGCGGTCAAAATGTTTGCGTGCCCAAGACTTTAATACACCCTCCAGAATATCTTCGCCATAATATTCGGCATTTATGCTGATGCCACGGTCGATTAATACGAGCGGAGAGCGACCATCGGCTGTTATGGCGGCCCACACCATTACCATGGCCAGCGCTTGAGTTCTGGTGGCCAACCGAAGGTCAACATTTTCAGCTGGCCTCTTTGGCAAATGAACACGATAATTTTATTTGTTTACAAACTGCTGGACAACGAATGTTTTCTCATCGGAGAAAACCAAATTCGGCAGTTCACCACTTTCGGCCAAGCGGAGCAACTCTTTAGCTCTTTTGAGTCTATTTTCTTTCTGTTGTGGTGTAAGTTCTTGCAAAGTTTGGAATTTCAATGCCTTTATCCCTAGCTAATTTTTCAATACTTCTCTTGACAGAAAACAATAAAATCGCGTAAAAATACGTTAGTAAAAATATGAATAATTTAGTCACATTTTGTCATATATTTTTTTATTTTTTGTCAAATTTGTATATGCCGTGAAATTTTTTTCAATTTGAATTTCAATTTTGAATTGCACATTTTTTAATATTTTTTTTTGTGTTTTGTGTTTGATTACACATTCAAAAAGCAAAGAAAATCAAATTATTGCCCAATAAGATGGAGGTTGACCAACATATTTATGTGGAGCTTATATCAAAGCGTGGGCATTTTATTTTCGTATAGCAAATGTACATTCAATAATAATTCAAATTTTAAATTATAGCCCATTTTGTCGAAAATCGAGATTGTAATCACTGATGTTCCGGATTTTAAGATATACCCTATATGAACCTGAAACGCTAAAATACTAATTTGCCTGGAAAATGCTTCTCAAAACATCAAAATATTTAAAGTCTGCAGATACCGTTATAATAAGATTGTGCCTAAAAGAGAACCAATACACCGAATTAGTCTGGTAAGTTTTGAAGTATTTTGTTTCGAAAAAAAACTAATTTTGTCTGTTGGGCCCGCCGAAATAGTCCGCTACCGCGGTGAGCCAATGTTAATATTTAGATTTGAAAAAAATTCCTCAAATCTAAATATTAGAGCTTATTCGGTCGAAAGTGACAGATTTATCCAAAATTACGAGTATCAGGTAGTGGAATTATTTGAGGACTATACCTTAACGAGGACTGATATACCTCCCTCAATATCAATCATCGTAAGAATGATGTATACGTCTGTGCAAATTTCAAGCATCTATCTTAAATAATGTCATAACATCTGTCCCTTGACGGCCGGCAGATGACATAGTTAAATGTAGAATTTCACTATCGGGATTCCCAATAGTTTGAGGTATTACAAGTAATTAAATAGTTTACCCCCCTCTTATGATTGTGGGCATTAAAGAACAGTCGGATATTGTGATTAGGTCCTTCCAAACACATAAAATAGGCCGTTACCAGAAATTAGGTGCTTATTTCCATTAAAAAATTACTACAGATATTATCTACTAACAAACCAGTAAAGAAAGTCTTAAAGTTGGGAGGGGCCGACTTTATGATACCCTACACCACTTTGCAAATT